TGGTGCTGAGTTAGAGTGCTTCTCTGCTGTCTTCACGTGCTATCGGAAACTTATGAAGTCATGATTACGAGCACGTTGCATTCTTTTCTGTTAAAAACAGTGAAAAGTGGTTTGTGAATGTTGATTCTTAGCCTAAATAATTTTATGTGGAGCATTCATGTGAGCACTGCTGCAGTCAGGCCCACCCCAAGTGCTCTCATTGGTTGTGACATGACACTCATCCCAATCCAGTACTGAACAACATCCCACCCCCCCTGTGACCCATGGTTTGTCTGTGTATTCAGAGCCAGTGAGCAACAGACTTCAAAATAATAATAATAAAAAATAACTGTTAATGCGCGATAAAATAATTGTTGGAATTAATTGAGTTAATGCGTTAACCTGCCCAGCCCTAATATACATCAAATAAACACAATATTACAACGTACAATTGCACAAAAGGCTGCAAACGAACAGCGCGCATCTGAAGTGTCTCTGAAGAAAATAATGCATTATTTATCGGCTTTAAGATATCGGCTAAATTTTCTTATCAGGCCGATACCGATAACAGAAAAAATGAGCATTTATCGGCCGATACCGATATGGTGGCCGATATATCGTGCATCCCTAATATATATATATATATATATATACAGTGCTGTTTGAAAGAGTCATTTTAACATAATAAAGAGAGGTCATACAAAATGCATGTTATTTTTTATTTAGTACTATCCTGAGTAAGATATTTTATATAAAAGATGTTTACATATACACCACAAGACAAAACAATTGCTGAAATTATTCAAATAACCCCATTCAAAAGTTTGGTTCTTAATACTGTGTGGTTACCTGAATGATCCACAACTGTTTTTTGTTTTGTGATGGTTGTTCATGAGTCCCTTGTTTGTTCTGAACAGTTAAACGGAGCACTGTTCTTCAGAAAAATACTCCATGTCCTGCATAGTCTTCCGTTTTCCAGCATCTTTTGAACCCTTTCGAGCAGTGACTGTTTGAGATCCATCTTTTCACACTGAGGACAATTGAGGGACTCAAACACAACTATTAAAAAAGGTTCATTCACCGATGCTCCAGAAGTAAACACGATATACACAGTACACACATTATGTAAACAAGAACTTTATTTATTTTGGATATGATTGTTTGACAGCACACACACATTATATATAAATAAAATAAACACTTGTCAATATTAAAATTACATTTAATGACTAAGTCCTTACTGGATGAATCAGCGTTTTTGAACGAATCTCGTCAAAGAATAATTCAATGACAAATAAATTTTTTTAAGTCACTTGTTGCCACCTAGTGGCAAACCAATGTAATCGACACAAACGTTGCTTTCAAAAGGTGATTTGCTAGATTTTGATCGCCATCATAGACATCAATGTTTATATCCGAACTATAAACTTTCATCCCATTATTTCTGTGATTAATATGAATGATTGTAAGACAGAAATAATACTTTGTGATTGAAAAGACTGTTTGTGAAGCTGTTTCTTACCTAAACATGCATGCTCTCTGTGTCAGTGGCAGCACAAACACAGATTTGAATTTTCCAGTAAGACTTTTTCAAAGATTTAATAGACTAATCATCCTTTAGAAATTAGATCGCTTGGGTGTTTGAATCGAGATTGCAATCTTTTAACGATTAATCGTGCAGCTCTACTTAGTTCCTATCTTTCAACTATGGAAGCCCTGAAGGGCACAGTGAATTGCCCACGAGTCTGTTTCCATTGTTTATTGCAGCTGAAAAAAATACAGGAAACATTAAGACTCTGAAAAATAAGGGTAAAAATGTTTAGGATTTAGCAACTTGATTGTCTTGTTGAAGTTGCCAATGTGCATTAAGAAGTTAGTACAATCTTCGGTAACACTTTAAAATAATGGTCCGTTGTTAAGTAACTATGCAGGAAGTAATAGGTAGTACTACATTAACACTTAACTTAATACTATTAACTAATAGAGAAGCAAGATTAACTAAGCAGTGTAAGTAGTAGCAAATTTAGGACAAAGGTAGTTACTTATTCGAAATATCCTCATTGAGAACTACTTGCGAACTATGACCAATTAATAAAGAATAACCAATTAATTACTAATCACAACAGTAACGTCTTAAAAGTGAACAATTGGGTTATTTGTGGAAACTAATTTATGAATATGATATCCCCCAAATAAGTTGGCTACAGGTTGAAATTGTGACTACTACTCTTACCAAAGGATGGATGCTTAAACTTAGACTAATAATAAAAATAATTCATTTAAAAATGTTAATAATTAGGAAGTGATTGAATTA